GCGATGATGGGCTTTCCAAGTAGTGCTGTCTATGCAAGTGTCTCCACAAGAACAGTTAGACTTATAAATGCACATTGTTCTAAATGTTAATGACTGATACCTTATCATATAATTGCAAAGCAGGATAAGAATCTACCGAAAACACGTATTTGCTAGAGCTGAAATCATGTTTTGAAAATAGGAAACATTTTCAAAATGAATTAAAACAAAATGTTAATTGTTTATGAATATAAATCATTGGGTATAAGCAACCGGAAAAAAGTGAAACGCTTCCTTTCTTCACCCTCTCTCTCTTTTTCTCTCCTCTGCCTTATCGTTGTCATTACTTTCTTTCTTATTCCTGAGTTTTCTGAAGGAGAATATCTGTAGATAATTTATTTTCACAGAAACCCACATCCTCGTTTGTGTGTGTGTTGTATGCTTGCTTTCTTGTCTACAACCCTGTTTATCCTTCTCAATTCATGCTTTATCAAGAGAATATCAAAAGATTTTTTAGACAAGAAACCGAACTGTATGAGGGAATACCAGTTAGTTTTAAGAATTTTCTCATATATCATGAATTCATGTTTTCAAAATATTTTTATTTTTCTTTGAAATATTTGAACTGGTCAGTTTATTTTGTCAAATTTCTTCTTATCATTTCACTTACAGACTAATATTTTGTAGAGAAATGTTCAGTCGGTTATATAACTGAACAGGTGATTACTGTATTGAAGTTTATTAGAAATGTAATTAGCCTTTTTTGAACGTGACTTTTTTCAATTATGAATCGTAAACAGAATGCATATCACTGAAGAGATAAACAATCTAGAGATTAAACCTGTATGGTTTGGAAGATTAGAAACTTCCTCACTCAATCCAGTAGATGTAAATAGCACAAGTATATATCCTGATTATAAACTCACTAGCAATACTTCGAGCTAATGAATATAGTGTTCATAGGGATTTGTTCCCTTCATAATCTTCGCCAACACAATAACAACAATATTTGCAGTATAAAATGTGTACACTTTGTTTGAACACTTCTGTTCAACTGCGGAGAGCTTAAAATATACATAGTAATAACAAAATAAGGATATGTATTGTGTTTTATTCCATTAGCAGAAGATCGTAGTTTATGGAGACCACAGTGGATGGCATAATTAGTTACTTATAACAGAAAAGAAAGCATATTTATCATAAGTCTGGGAGAATATTTGAGAAGTTTTGTTAGTTGACTTAACAAGGAAGAACACTAATGGATCAGTTGTCTGAGTTAAGATCAGTGGGTCATTATTATTATTATTGCTTCCTTGGGTTCCGAGTGGAATAAGGCGCTTCAACAACACATCTCCACTTTCTTCTTTTCTCTGCTGTCTTCTTCAGCTTGAATCACAATTGTCCATAGTCTCTTACTTCCTCCTCGCACGATCTCCTCCATGTCACTGTATGGACCCTAATTCAACTTGTCATTTCCCATTCAGGTTCCATTCAACTAACTGGCGTGCGACATCGTTCGACAGTCTCCTCAGCATATGCCCACTACATCACTAATTTCTTCTGCATATTTGCTGAGCAATTGACTCTTTATTTGTTCGTTGCCGGCCAGAGTTTCTTGTTGCTAATTCTTTCTGGCCTGCCGTTTGATCTTCAGTATGGAGCCAGCGAAGCAGGCAGCTGTTGATAAATGTCTGTAGTAGCCTGTTGGAAATCCTTTTCATGACACGCAGTGCAATTTGCTGGCACACATAGAAGATCTGACTCACTGACTTCACGTTTGTGTTGGAAATCCGAATCTTGTTCTTTATGCTGGCTGAGTTAATGCAGAAGGCTTCCAAACTGTCTTCAAATTGGTGGAGGTGTATCTTGCATTTCTGATTCCAGCTAGCTTCGACATCTTTATCTGTCCAGCTTGTAGTTAAGACGACGCTGTATGGTCAGATAATTGAAGGCAGTGACCTCTTTCGGATTTATCCCGTTAATGGTGATTAGTACTGGTCGTTGGTGTTGCTACTGAGTCGTCGCTTATCTTCATCACCTCAGTTCCTTTTATGTTCACCTTCAGTCCCACTTTTGCTGCCAACCTCTCTCTGTTTTCTTTTGTGGATCACTTGGCACGTGGCAATGTCATATAGCTAGATGTTGAATGAGGTTGAGAAAGACTTGGCAAACTGCACTCCACAGTGTTGAGGTGGTTTCCAAATTCGTTCACAGTCAACGCTGCCAAAGGCTTTCTCGAAATCAATGAAGCTGAGCGATGATGATATGTAGAGTTGTAATTTGATCGGCACATGATTTGCCTTTCCTGAATGCAGATTGTTCTGCATTCAGAGTATTCTTGTGTTTTTAAGTTTCGATAGCAGTTTGACTGATTTTCCGAGGTATGGTCGCTAGCTCCACGGTCAACCATCCCTCTTTACCGGGGCTTGGGACCGGCGAGAAACCTAGCCAGCTAGCCAACTAAGTGAGGTTTTAGTGGCTTGTAACTTATGATAAATAACCACTTTCTTTGTGTGCCATTTGTTACTGATTATTCTATCACAGATCACACATTGTCGTATCCCTAAACTGCAATTTCCATGAGAAACGTCTGCTAATAGTATTTTTTCAAATGTATGTTCTTATTTTGTTATTACTACGTGTATTTTAAGCACGCTGTATGCAATTGAAGAGAGTCCGCTAAATAAAATGTCCACCCTTTATTCTATGAATTTTTTACCTCTTGCTTTCACGAAGATAATGCAATGCTGACATGGTGGATTGTTACTTGCCTTCTTAAACACAACACAAACAACGAAATGTCCTAAAAGAAATGTTATATGTTTGCATTAATGTTTGTTTTTATTAACCTTGTAACTAATCTTGATAGAGAGATTGAAACAAATCAAATTATTGATTTCAGTAGATGTATTCAGTAGTGAGAATTAAAAGATATAATGATAAGGTATGAATACTATTCAAAACTGATAGAACAACCATTCATTAAAGTTATAGCTGAATAATGACTCAGGATAGACATACAATCCAAAACCGAAAATTATAGCATATACTGCGATGCCCTGCCACTGTAGAAATCAAAGCAGTTTTTTCCTGAATTTTCAGTTTTGGAACTATAGTCATGATATGAATTCCTCTGTTGAAGATGAATTCTGAAAGCCTGTCTTAGATAGCTAGGTGTTGAATGAAACACAGGAAATCGTGGAAGAATATATTGAGAAGATGAATCCTATGCCGAATGTTAGGCCTGCATTGAATCCCTAAACATGTGTATTGTGTCTCCATTGAAATGGCCCTCTGTTTACAACTCTTACAAAACACATCTAGTATGGATTCTAGTATGGATTAAGTGACTACGTCGTTCATCTTAACTTTCTTATAGTAGAATGATGGGGTCTCATGAGAGACTAAGCAGAATTTTTTTAACTTACATGTCTGATTAAGGCATTCAGAAGACAAATTTCGCGAGATGATATCGTCATTTCCTAGTTTCTTTACAACTGCTTTACAACTAACGTGGTTCACAATAATTAAATAAAATCCACGAGAATTACTCAGTTATATAAAAGAAAAGTACATACTAATAACCAGTCCTATTTAAATAGGTCGAGTAGTCCATGGTAGGCGAAGGTTGAAGTCTATTGTTTTTCGTACACGTAATTTAGGATGTATTTGACTAATCCAAAGTGCTTTCGTCACCTTCAATAACCTTCAATTATTATTTATTTTTAATTTATTTTATTATGGCTTGATTCCACACAGTATTTTGTTAAAATTATGGAATTTTCAGTATGCGATATCGGTAGCCCTAATTTAGCAGGCCAACCATTGATATAGGGTGTGTGTCGGCCGGGGATCGAACCCCGAACCATAGGCCTGGTAGGTGAGCGTTCTAACTGCTGCGCTACGGACGCAGATAATTGTGAAGCAGTCATTAATACTGGTTTTGTGAGCTGACATTCATAAGTGCTTTGCAAAGAATGATGATGATGGATTTCTATTCAGATTAATTGCATTGGTACTTTGGAACATGTTATTCTTGGCGACATTGGAACATTCTATTGGTTCTACCTATATAAGTGTCACTGCAACTGCAGGTGAATTTGTAGATACCCTTTGAAGTAGAGTCCACAGAATTTCGTTCTTTAATCGCAGGCAGATGGATGGAAAAAGTTTGGCATGTGAGGGAAGCGATATCATCTCCCAGAATTTGTCTTTTAAGTGCCTTATTCAAATTTATCAAACGGACCAATTGTTTTAACTTATATGTCGACAGTTATGCGCCCAAGTTAGGAAGCCAGTTCTACATTGACATATTTATTCATTTGGACAGATTTACTGAATAGTCTGTCAGCACTAGGTTGTAACGTGCGTTGGTGGCATAGTGGTTAGGACGCCCGCCGACCATGCACATGGTCAGGGGTTTGATCCCCAGCCGACGCACTCCTTTTCCTCGCTAAGCCAGAAATAATGCTGGTGAAGAGGAAAGGTTAAGCGTGAGGCTAGCAACTCCATCTTGTAAAATGAACACTGCTACAGAAACTTCAAGCCACTAGCTTAAAGTCCTATGTTCCACTGGGGAACGTGGAGGAAAAAGAAAATAACTGTATTGTAATAAAGATTGCTCTACATTAAATTTAAATTAATTTTTATCAGATAATACAAAAGTCTAATCACAACACAGTTTATTTTGATAGAATCATGTACACAGTTATTTTGACCTTAGAAAAACATAATATAAGCTTTTTGTGCGTCAAAAATTGTATGCAAGCGGAAGCATTGAAATAAGGTTCAAAAAACATGTGGCCAGGCAGTAAATCTTACTTTTCTTTTGCTGACTTATTTAGAACATGAATGGAACTAGAGTGTATTTCCTGTTGAAGAATGAATTGTCCTGTCCTATAAATGTACTTAGTGCAAATAACCGAAATTATACATGGAAAGATAATTATATTAAGGAATGGAGATATTTCTAATAAATAAAATATTTCATAACTTTTAACTAATGTTTTTATTCTTTTTAGTCCTGAGTTGTTGGAGCAGCTATGGATTCAGTTGTATCGTTACCTACCTGGACCATCAATGGGGCCTAAATTATCATCAGGTAATTTTAATCAGCATTTCTGTTTACCTTTAATGCTTGATTTTACTAAAGAATGTAGTGAAGATATTAGAAAATAGGAGTTAAATGGACTTAGACTCATAAGATGTCCAAAATGTCAGATATGATCTAATTTTTATTCATCCACAAGTTGTATTCTCAGATCATTGATAAACTAGTCTATTAAATAATGCTGTTGTCCACGTTAAGTAAAATACCAATTCACGTCATCCTGGAGAGAAAAAAAGATGCACTGAATGCAGAACTCCGCATCCACCCCAGGAGAAGCTGGATTCAGGAAAGGCAAGTCATGTGCATATCAAATAAGAACTCTATGAATCACCATTATCTAGAAAAGCATAGAATGGAAATCAAGTCTATGCCTCAGTTTCATCGATTTCGAAAAGGCGTTCGACAGACCGCGTTGGCCGAGAAGTAATTTAGAAACTGCCTCAAAACTACGGCGTGCCCAAATTCTTTATCAACCTTATTCAACGGCTGGTTACTTGAAAATTAGGCCGCGTGTCAGGTGATCCACAACGGAAATCCCACCGAGGCGTTCGAAGTGCATACAGGAGTAAGACAAGCTGGCTGCCAGACCATTATCACCCACGATGATATTCTTAATTGTGATGGACTGCATTATCCATCAGACTGTGCATGGGAGTGAGAAGACAGGAATACATTGCGTTGACCAATAAGAAGACTCCATCTAGAAGATGTGGATTTCGCGTGTGGATAATTTATGTTTTATGTTGCACAAACTCGAAGACTTACAGGCGAAAACCAACAAAATGGTACAAGAGGCTGGTAGGCCACGAAGATAAAACAGCTGGTGAACTTAGAGTAGACGGTTGGAGGTGATGAAGATAACCAACCACCAGTAACAGCAACAAAAGCCAGCACCAATCACCATCAATGGGATAAAAAGATTTGAGAGAAGTTACTTCCTTCACTTATCTAGGAAGCATCGTATCAACCACAGGCCGGCGGATGTCACAGCAAGTCAGTCAAAACTTCCATCAACCTAAAGACAGTTTCGAAATCTTCTGCACTCAGTCGGCAGCATAAAGAGTAACATTCGGATTTTTGACACAAATGTGAAGTCAGTCAGTCGCTTCTTCCATATAGGTCACAGATTTGCACTGCGCGTCACGAAATGCATTTTAAACAGGCTCTTGCAGGCTTTTGCAAACAACTGCCTTCGGTTTATATTGAGAGAATCAACAGCAACAAACTATGGGAAGGAAATAACCAAGAAACTATCGTTCAGCAAGTATGTAGGAGAAGATGCAGATGGATTGGACATTTGCTGAGGAGACCATCGGATGAAATCGAGCACCAGGTTCTTGAGGGGAATCCGAGTATATAACTACGGGTAGGTTGTCCGAGGGTGACACAGAGGAGATCGTGAGAGTTGGAGGAGACGAGAGATTATGGGTAATTTTGGACATAACTGAAGAGGAGAGCAGAAAACAGAAGAAAAATGGAAATGTGTTGCTGAGGCCTTATGTTCCACTCTGAACCCAAAGAAATAACAATAATATATGATAATGTTGACAGCCACTAAAGTCTCAAGAGAACAGGCGCTTTCAATGTTGCAATTGCCAGACATCTCCTTGATACGGGTTGTGAGGTAGATATCGCCAAATGCTTTAAAGTTATCAACAGACAAAACATCTCAATTCTTCTTAAGTTTTGCAGAAGCAATCTCTATCAGACAACCAAAACCCGAATTATGTGTTCAGAAATGAAGCAGTTATCAGTCTTCTCTTGTCCTGGTAACTGGATATCCTTACTGTTTCTTCCATGTGATTACGCCATCTTCAGCTTTAACCTCATCCGCCCTTTTGACTTGGTGTAAGTTTGCGTGTATCTTGTATCTATGACTTGAGTTGAAGTCACCACATTGTTACCCGATTTACCAGTTACTCATCATCTTATTCACATCTTTTTTATTACGTAACTCCTCTACCGTTGTATGCATACACTGATATTTTGTTTAAACTTGAACTCTACTGGTAAAAAGTATGTAAATGTCACTTTCTGAGCATTATTCATTAAGTTTGGAGCCTACTGTCAACTGATATCACGTGAAAAAATTGCAAGTATGTTAAGCTTGTTCTATAGATAAACTTAATAATTTATTTAGGCTGTACGCGACTGGTCAAAAGCCGACGAATCAAATGATAGTATCATCTTATTCTGCACAAATCAGTTTTGTTCTTGCTTTATTCAAACACAAAAGTATCGTTAAGATTAGATTCCAACTAAACAATAAAGTACGTGACCCCACTCAATCGATGGGAAAATATGAAATTGAATTAAGTAATTAATATGACTCATAGAACAAGAGGTGGCTCCAGTGGCTCGAGTGGTCTAGTGGACAACGCTTTAGCGTTTGAAACTATGGGAACTGGGTTAGAGTCTCGGTGGGAACATCGTCACTCCCTGTGGAATACAGGTACATGCAGCTGACGAGTTTCAAAATGGACTAAATGCGTGTTGTCCTGGATTCCACTGCTAGTCACCATCCACCAATTAAGCTGAAAGAATTAAAATATCTTATTTATCTAGTAATAATTTATCTCAGTAAAGTTTTTTTCTCCTTTATTTTGTAGAGCTATCTCCAAGTATCACACTTTCTGTAAGTGTTGACAATTTAGAATTGATACACGACAGAAATCAACTTGTAAGTCTACTCTTCTTTGTATTACTATCACTAAATCAATGGCTTATACATATATTGCACTTACTATATTTAATTTATGCAGTTGTTTCAGGATTTTATCATGAATTGACGTCGGTTAGATGACCAGTGGAAAGCCAAATGGGAGTACTGGAGAGCGCTTTCGTCCAAGTTTGGGACTCTTCATCAGTATTCACTCACCAGCAGTGTTCGAACCCAGAAGCTTCTGATTACAAGGCGAGCTCGTAGATCATTCAGCCAGCAAAACTCGATCCAACGGCCCATGAATTCTAAAATCTGCCAATTCACGATACAGCGCGACCCCTAGCCAATGTTTTCGGCGAGTATTTGTCCTCACACCCGACCTGCTGCACCCTACTGGTCACGACTTCTCACTAGAACCCCAGGTAACTACCTACCTGAATAGGGCTAGTTGCCAGTGAGCATCTCAATTATTGGTTTGTAGGGATTTGACTGATTGGTTACCAATTATTTAACCGGGCCTAGGATGACTGACCCTGCTAAGTTAAATAACTTAGAAGAAAAAATCAACTATTGCAATGCATTTCACTTGCATGTAATCAAAACATAAGGTGGGACAGGGTGAAAGCATATATGGGATCAAAGTAGTTCGTCGACTCAAGTGAACTTCAGTCGATTAATCATCAGCGATCAATTTTTTATCGGTGTGCAATGTAAGACATGGTAGCGAATATAATTTTCATGGGACAAGAGCTCGGCAGTTTCATTTTGGTGTGATTATCTACTTGTACACTCTCTTCAAACCATCATCAATAAATATGTCTTTCAGCAGCCGTAAGCGTTATATGTAACTTTTACTGGTTGGACCGGTGTTAGGAGCAGCCTGGTAACCAGGTTAGGTGAGTCAGGCTAAAGGAGCCATCAGGTGGTGTGGCTGGCACTTAGGTTTAGGAGGATTGGTAGCTACGCGTCAAACGAGGGTGCCATATCTAGTTGAAACCAACTTGAAACGAGTTCCAAACCATTGAAGCAGCCTATATAACTGGTTTCCTAATAGTATCAAATGTAATACACTTAGATCTAGAGAGAGGTTAATCACCTAATCTTTGTTTATCGAATCAACACCAAAAATCTGGAATCGAAATAGTGCAACGCCTATACTGGATATGTGGAAAATTATGACGAATAATAAGGCGGAGAGAAAAATATACAAAATTACGAAGCAGAATGAATGAATTGATACGCTTATGAACAATAAATTGTTCTCGAAACGTTATCCAATTATATCAATGTGTGTTATATAAAATAAGCTTATCTAATATGGTATCAAATCATTATTGTTGCATATTTTTGTTGAAGAAACTTCACTCATAACATTAATAAGGTGTAAAAACAGTTGATTCGTACAAATATAAATGTATCTAGATATCAGAAATTAGTCAGTGGTTTTCATCAAATAGTGCTGGGCTTAGGTCCTCCAAATGTCAGGTGATTAATTTCACTTTCAGACACAAGCGTGACTTACGTGAACTTGTTGGTTAGCATGGTTCCACTACCATAGGTGGCACTGAAGTTGAAACCGAATCGAATGTTAAATATCTTGGACTTTTTATTTCCTCTGATCACCTTCCCTGGTCTTCCCAAATCATGTTGGTTTGCAGAAGCATATGACGTTACTTGTCTGTCAGTTACGATGATCTGGTATCATTCCGTCTCTACTGTTACCTTTCGTTAATTCTTGTATTCTGACAATACTTCTTTGCTGTTCCCCGACGCCTTAATATTTCTCGGGCTACTTACGACAGATTTTTTTATGCTGAGAAGGGTTCAAAAACCTCTCAGTAAGAGAAGTGGGGTGTTGCTAAACAAACTCGTTAATACTATTGTAGATAGACACTCGGATTCCTGCAAGAAATTAGCAAATATTATCATATTGTCAGACTAGGAACATCCTCTCCATACAAAACTCTCTCTAAGCTTGCATCTCATCAGGTAGGGCAACCAGAAGCAACTATGGAAAACGGTTTGCTCATACGACTAAGTACAAAAACTCTACAGTACCTTATTTAGTACACATTCTATGTGGTGAGAAAAGTGTTGGACAGGAAATTACCAACCGACTGACGAACTCTAAGTAAACGGCATTGTCTTTTTTGTTCTCAGTCTTACATTGTCGTTAATATTTTCACTTGATTTAATTTTATACTCATTCCTTACTGAAGGATATTATTAATGTCAATGCCCTATTTTAATTATTGCCCCTGTAATGAGAAAATGAGATGTGCTATTGTATTACATGCTGAAAATTCCATATTTCCACCAAAAGTTCTGTTTGGAATAAAGCTACTATTACTGCTATTAATATTATTATTATTATAATTTAGGAATGGGCATCGAATATACAATTTGGATAGAATTATACATTATGATGTTATGACACATGAATAATCTGTTTTTTACCTTCACGTTTCCACTGGAACATAGGGCTTCAACCTAGTGGCTTGAAGTTTCTGTAGCAGTGTTTATTTTGCAGGATGGGTCTGTTAGCCTCATGCCCAACTTTTCCTCTTCACCAGCATTATTTCTGGCTTAGCGAGGTAAAGGAGTGCGTCGGCCGGGGGTCGAACTCCGGACCATGTGAATGGTCGGGGAGCGTCCTAACCACTATGCCACCGATGCACTGAATAATCTGTACTTACTGAAATTTATTTAGGCTAAATACATGAAATTACTTTTCCGTAGGGCTAAATAAAAATATTTTAATAGTTATTAATAGTAGTAATAATAATAATATTTCACTCTCGCATAAACAAATATTTTCCCTTTTTGGTTTATTGGCTGGTTAGTTGGTTTGTTCTTAGATTCATATCGCTAAATACATGTCAGTCATTTTTCCTCAGTATTCATCTCCTACAAAATAATAAAGCTAGTACAAACGAATTAAATTTACTCAAATATATATTTGCGTATTTTTTTGTACTTGATAGAGGGATTCAACTGGCCATACTCAGCCACGAAAATCAAGATAAAACAATCTATCCTAGAGAAAAACTCATCAGGAAGTTAAGATATTAATTAAAGATAGGCATAAAGTATATAAATATATATCTGCTAAAGTGTAGTATAATAAAGTACTACTCAACAGCTAATATACACAAACTCATTTTTACTCACTGCGCATATATCTGCATGTAGAAAATTATTGCCAAAATGCCTAATAATACTTTCACTGTTGAAAACAAACAGAGATTCAGATGCATTCACTTTCAATGTGATAAAGTAATAGTGACCATTAGTTGTTGACATTCTAAGCTTTAGTTTTATAGTTTCTGTCTACTAACATTCTGTCTAGAATTTTTCAGACATCTCATTCATTATACCTTTATTCTCATATATTGACTATCATTTCTGTTATTCTCCAATTAACCATACCATACAACTAACGCAATCTTCCTGACTTTATAAAAAATATCAACGACTTCCTCTTTACCCAGTCTTAGACATGTTTAACTCCACCTACCATGAAGTTGCAATGTAGCTAGGTGAACACCTCTAACCGTTACACAAGAATGTGGTAAATCATAGTGTTAAAGACGTTTTTGAACTCATTTCTAATGTACATGATATGCATATAAATGGGAAGCAAATGCTATCCTTAGATGTCGCATCACTGTTCATGAATATACCACTTGTTCATACTGTGTAATTCATATGCCAACAGATACTAGAAAAACAGTTCGACATCGGAATTCCAGTTATTGATCTGAAAGAGTTGCTTTAAAGATGTACTGTGAATGTACACTTCACATTCAACAATCTTTATTACAGACAAGTCGACGGTATTGCCATGGATTCTCTGTTGGGTCCAGTTAAGGCAGATTTTTTTCTTGCTAAGCTTGAAAATTGTCCATTGAAACCAGCAATGGATAAAAATGATTCCGTTATATGGGTGATACGTTTATTATTCTTGATGAGAAAGCTGACAATAATGAAATGTTAATAAAATTTAATGATGCGCATCCATCGCTCATCTTCACTTGTGAAGAAAAACATAATGGTGGATTACATTTCCTTGACGTCCAATTGAACAGAAGAGAGGATGGCTCACTCAAGAGAGATGTCTATAGAAAATCTACGTCTGTAGGACAATATACGCATTTCCTCAATTTTGTACCAATCCCATAAAAAATCAGTTTGGTCAGATGCCTCACGAATAGAGCAAGAAGGTTCTGTACAGATAACTCCCTAGAAAATGAATTAGGATACATCCAAAATACGCTGGTCCAAATTGGTTATCCTAGTAGATTTGTAAGGAGACACATGAACTCCAGGTACAATGAAGAGAAACCGATGACAGTTAAAAATAAAACGACTGTTCCTAAAATTGCAATTTAATGGGGACGTGGCTAGCAAAGTCTTACATCTGAGATCATCGAGAGTGATAAAACGGACTTATACTGCCGCCACCCTTTGTTTGTCATTTTCCAGTCGACCAATTATGATTGCTCAAGTGAAAGACAAGCTACCTAGCTGTGCCACTTCTAAGTGCATCTACAAATTTAGTTGCTCCTGTGGAGAGAGCTATATAGGGCGAACAACTAGACAACTTAACAAACGCATTAATGAGCATCTTCCTTCATGGTTTGGAAAAGGTCAAATGAAATCTATAAGTTCTATTTTGGCTCATTTGATTGATAGCGGTCACCAAGTGGACAAAAATAGTCCCTCCAAAGTTATCTATCGCATCCCATTGAACCTTTCGAACGCAATTCGAACCCGCCTTTTACACATAGCTGAAGCTATGGGAATTAATTTGAAGGAGCAATCCTAGTCTTTGCATACAAAAGAAGTTTGTTCTACCTTCATCTATCGCTTAGCCCAGGAAAATTCCAACTGAAACCCTCCTACCCTTTCTTATTTCCCATTTCATTCGTACTTTTATGATATTCATTTAAACTCACATTATCTGCCCACTTCATCTTTAGTATTACGTAACTTTTAAGATTCGACCTAATTTATTC